CTCAGCCCACTGAGATGTTTCGGTGCTGTTTGCTGGAGGTGGTGACCATCCTGGCAGGTGGAGGCTGGCAGGATGGGGCGCTCAGCCTTACCTGGAGCCACGCACTGCTTGTGGCATATGTATTTAGCAAGAGGAGGTGTCAGGCTCAGCAGCTGCTGCTCTGCTCCCTACCTGCAGAGCTGGTGCTCCCACAACTCTGAGAGAGAGGTGCCAGTTTGCTGGGGAGGCTCTCCTCTCCCTGTGAGCAGTGAGGGGTTGGCTCCCTTCAGTGCCCTGCTCCTTCCTGAGTCACTTTGACAGGCAGAAACATGAAGTGGGATAAAATGATGACAGCTGGGTTGTACTTTGGAAGCGGAAAGAGTTGGATCCATTTACAGCTTGGAGTGATGGAGCTTGAAATGCAACCAATAGCAGTTACTTTACCAGTGTCAGAGTTGAATCAGAAAGGACGGTTTGGTTGGTATAGTTCAGCTGATTGCTGGATATTTTAATCCAGATGATTTCTGCAAGGCTGACAGTTTCATGATTGATGATACTGAAGTAATTCTGCTACCTTCAGCAAAGTAGCTCAGGATTTATTCTGAGAATGTAGTTGTGTTAATTCATTTTTCTGACTTGACAGGCAAAAATCCTGTGTTGCTGTGACCTTTCTGTGAAATGGGATGTCCATTGAAATAGCCAGGAAAATAGTCGTCTTCTCATGTGCACGTGGAATACTTGTTACCTTTAACAATAGCCATGTGTAAGTGTGAAACCACATATGAATGATGTGCTGGGCATCAGTAAAAGAGGGAACAGGGTTCTGAACTCTTGTGTTGTTCTTACGCTGGTTTGGTGTAGCTCTTACTTGCAGTGACAAAGCTTAAGTAAGCTTTCTGGAGGTTGTAATAACCAAAGATGTTCCTTTTGATTTGTTAATGCCACTGTAATTCTTTCCAAAATTAGGAGAAACTTGACATTCTAGATCAGCTGGTGACCAAATGGTCAAGCATTTGATGTTCCTGGCAGGTGCGGATAGAGGAACTCTGTTTCACCCACCAAATGTGGTGGGTTTTTAGTTGTTTTATTTTTTTTTCTGTCTGCTGTTTCTGAAAAGTAGAAATTTTTGCTATAGATACATCAATAAATTTAAAGAGTATGAGTGGTTTTGTCCATTTTGTGCAGTGTGGGAGGGTTTATTTGTGGTGATTTTTTGGTTTTTTGACAGAGTCTTATGGTAGGTAAAAGCGACTTTTTGAGTGGCTGACTCAAAAAGTGTTTGGCTTGAGAAGATATATTTAGACAAATAATTGACTTTTAAAAGAAGCTTTTAGTTTATTTCAATTCCAAAATTTTCATCATAAATATGGAATAGCAGTGGCATTATTTTTTTTTAATTTAATGTAAAAAAATTATTTCTAAATTTTCTGCTGATAAGAATTAGTTTCATAAATGATTTTGGAAGAATAAAATAATTTCAGATATTTTTTCAGATAGAATACTATAATTTCAGTTATAATTTAACTAAATTAGGTTGAAAATGAAAACCAGGTGGCTTTTTATTCTAACTCCCTGCAGGTAAGTAAATGTAGTGATCCTGGAAAAACAGTGTTTAGCCAAAGTTGGCACCTATAAACAAACTTTTGCTTATTTCTCAGTATCATTAGTGTTTATTAACCCAACTCACTCTGCTGAGATTCAAATTACAATTTTTCTTCCTAATATTTATATTTTAATATGAAAATATATTTTAAAACAAAATACCCTTAAAATTATCTGGAATAAATTCAGTTCAGCGTAGACATTTCTGATACTCTTGAAGAGACTTTTTTTTTTTACGCCAGGCAGGAAAGTTCAGAGTAGTTATGTCATGTTGAGTGTTTTGTGCAAGCTGTGAAAATCTGTGGACTTGATGTAAGCTGACATTGTCCATAATACAGCTTTATTCACTTCTCCTTCTGCTGTGATGAGTCTCCATCAAATCCTCCAATTAGTACAAAGTTATAAAATTATAGACAGATGGAAAATTTGTATTTATAGAAAAATGCCCACGGTTTTGATAGCTTGAAACTCTTGCAGCTATAGATGATGTGTTAGCAGTTGAGATTTAGAGAAAACAGCCTGTTCAGGAAAACATGAAAGCTTGTGTACTTTCTGAAGCAGTAGGTCATCTAGCGATGACCATAAATTTCAGAGTTACTTTTCTGTGAATTGAAACCATCTGTGGGAAACAGTTTAATTTGTTTGTATTGGTAAAAAGTAAGTAAATAGATAAATATACAGCAATTATTTTCTCAAATAATCATCAAAATCAAAAAAAAGTTTCAAGATCCATCTCTTGTCTCCCAGTAAATTAAAGCTTTGCAAATTTCACCATCTTGACAGACTTGAATAGTGCACAGATCAAAAAAGTTTTAATGGGAAAGGAGATAGCTGTCACTCAGTAGCCCAGAACTACTGCTGGTCTGATGGTCAGGGGCAGTAGTATGGTTTCATTAATATTGGTCTGAGTCCAGAGTCAGTCTCCTAACCTCAGCAGTGTGGTTACTTTGGAAACATAAGAATAACAACAGTAATTTTTCTGATGATTCACACATTTAAATCTAATAATCTTAGAATAACATCTTAGAAGGGATCAGTGTTTGATGACAAAGGAAAGAGCTGAACTGGAGCTGTTTTTTGCTGGCCCTGTATACAGCTAAACTAGCAACAGAGCGCTCTATGAAAGTCTGGTTTCCTGGACAGATTTAATTCCTTCCTGAAATTCATAGCTTGAAGTGACCTTCACGATTTTCTCTTAGTGACTTTAATGTGTTTTGCTGGTGTGTAGCCAAAATTTTTCGTTTCCAAGTTCTGTTCCTTTCTCAAAAGCAAATCTGGTAGTAGACTTGTTTGTGTGTGTGTACACCTATAGCACAGTTGAATTTTAATAAAAGGAAATACCACCACTCTGTTTAGGAGGATATTATTGCTATATGCACAATGACATGTCATTACCTGGAGAAGAACATTCTAAGTTTCTCCTGCACATCCACGTTTGTGCTGAGTCTAAGTTGCTCTACATCTGTGTTGTGAGCTTGGGTATAGCCCTGGAAATCTCTGCAGAGGACCTCTGCAGGGCTGTGTGCATGCAGGGGGACTCTGAGAAGTTTTGGTGTTGTGAGGGGAGAAAAAAGGAAGTGCAATATAGATGCTTTTACAGTGTCTGTAACATTCTATTCCCTGTGTAAGAAGTTTCTTTAGATATCCCTTGCAGGAAGAAGTTGTAAGATTCTCCCATACTTAAATGACACTTCTACTGTTTTCCATGAAGCCAAAATATTCGTGCTACTGATTCTGAATATCCCATGCTATTCTTGCCTTGTATGATATTGTCTTAAACTTCTGTTGCATGATGCCACTACTGCAATTATTGGAACAGGCAAGACGGATTTTAGTCAAATTTATAATGCTCTGATAGGAGTGAACCTGTCTGCATTCAAGACTAGAGCTACTTTTCTACTTTCTCTCTCCTCCTTTTTCCTTCTTCTTTTCCTCCCTTCTCCTTTCTCCTTTCTTCTCTTCTCCCCTCTTCCTTTTTAAAGAAAGCAATCGTATTTTATTCACCTGAAGAACTAAGGCTGTTTCATATGTGTCTTGAAATTGTTTCACTAATGCTGCTTTTCAGCATCTTAGTCTTCTAAGCCAGATTGCTGCAAATATATAATTCAAAGCTATTTAAAAGCTATGGCATGATGCTTCAGATGTTTTGTCAAGTTCAAAGTAGCAGGCCATTTGCACAAAGCCACCTGTGCATCTCGTATCCATTACAAACGGTGAGATCCAGCCACAGCAGAGGTACTTGTGCTCCTGCACGCCTTGCTGCTTCTGGAAATTCCACCCGTGCTCTCGCCTCTCCAGTGCAGCTCTGAGAGTCCCACCTGTGGCTCTCTGTTCAGAGCAGCCAAGTTTCAGGACTTGTGTCACCACCACAGCTGCTGCTTCTCCTCCAGGCTGTACATGGAGGAGTGCAAGTGTGCTTCCCTGGCACTTTCAGGAACAGTATGTCAAGGTTACCAAGTAGAGGGGGGAAAGTGTCTGCAGTCTGACATCTGAGATCTGCAGTTTTTGGAAAAATATATTGAAGGCAGAAATAGGGGACAAAAAGGATTTTTCCTTTTTTAATTTTTTTTTTTTTTAATTTCAGAGGTGACAGCAGAAGCAGGTTATATTATGTATTTGTGGAGAAAGGACAATGAGAAGTAAAGACTTCTCAGCAAAAAGCATGCAGTGACTAAGCCATTGTGTTGTCTGATAAATAAGCAAATATAAACTGGAGGCAAAGCACCATGCACTGGGTGTGGCAACACATACATTGTTGTAAAATGTTTGGGGGATGGCAAGCCAGGTGATGATTTCTTCATCTATTGCATGTTTTCAGATAGAGGCTGAAAGCAAATTCTAGAGAATTTACTTTTACAAATAAATACTAATCTTTTGGCTTAATACAGGGATAATTTAATACAACTTAATGTCCTACAATATATTTGGTTTAGGATGACTGAAGAAAGGGTGCAGCAATTCTGAGGAATACAAAGACGTTTTTGAGAAAAGAAAAGGAGCAATTTCTTCTATAGGGTTCATGGTGGAAAGCACAAGAATTGATGGGCTTCAGTGCAGCAAGTTGGCCATAAAGAAAAATGTTCCATTCATCAGAACAGTGAAATATTGGGGGATAAAAAAAGCCTGTGGAAGTTGCAATAAAAATTTAGATGTGCCTAACTTTTTCCTTGAAAAAGAGGGATGAACTGGATGACCTTTAAAGTTTCTCCCAGCCATTTTTCAGGGAGCCTCTAGTGAGTACCATAGCTGCCAATTTATTCCAGACTTCCTAAATTTTGTTTGGATTATCTTTTACCCCTGCTCAGACGAAGTCTCTGAACATCATGTAGTAGATCAGTCTAATGCCCTTACATCCAAACAAATTATATTCTACATGTAATTTCAAGGGGAAAAGTTACTATCCACCATCTTCTTTTTAGGTCCTCCAGGGAAAAGAGGTAAGCGGGGAAGAAGAGGAGAGACTGGTAAGTTTTTAATTTCATAAGATCTGTTGTCATTTGATGTTTTTGTGAGGATGTGTACCCAGCATGCCTTGATTTTTAGTTGTACTGCATGTGTGCTCTGAAAAAGAAATCTGAAACATCTCTGGTAAAATATTGTGACCTTTGGCATGTATCTGGTGGCCTTCAAGATATTTCTCTGGTCTTGGGCACCCTTAATTTGCAGGCACACTTCATAATGCTCAAAACTGTGCCTTTGGTAACAGGTCTCTAAGTGTCAAACCCTTCAGGGGTGTTCTCTCACACGCACAAGTTAGAATAACTCCACATAAGTCAGTAGTTGGAATACTGTGTCAGTGTTACATCAGGCCCCTTTGGCTGGAGGAGAACAATTTTATAAGGAAATAACAAAGGAAATAAAATTCCTTGTGTTGAGAATGTTGATAATCAGGGACATAATGTGATAAGTAGACTACTCTGTATGAGAGAAGTTGTTTTATAGAAATGAGCAGTTAAGTTCTAACAGAAATAAGAAAAACATTTGCTGGTTCGTTACCCTGTACCAGGGAGGTTGCTGTTGATAGAAACCTGCTGCTGGTGTGTTGCCTGAAATTTCATTTGAGGCAAAGTTATGAGATGCTGAACACCTCTTGCTGTTGACATTCAGAGGAATTGAATCAATTACCTTGTGGGATTGAGTTTTTCATCAAGGTGAACTTTCTGGAGGCAATGCAGTAGAAAATGAGCATTTCTATTCTCCTTGGTTGTCTTGTCTAATCTGCCAGCTAGGAAAGTCTTCCAATCAACTTGATCTCTGTAAATCTTCTGTAGCCTTTCTTATCTATGTAAATGGTAATTTATCTGGCTCTTAAAAACTATTTGCATATCTTCCTGAATCACAAAACTAAAACCAAACCCTGCCAAAAGTTGATACAAATCACTTTTGTATTTCCATTCAGTGCTGTCTTGGTACCTACTTCAGAGAAAGAGGCTGTGATACAGAGAGAAATTCTGTGGTTCAAGATTGAATTACAAATGATCCTGGAAATTACTTTGTGGGATTCTCATTGATTAATTTTAAATCTCAAATAAACACATGGTAAACTATTAATAAAGGAAACGGATCTCTCATTTAAAAACAGACCTGCACCTTAAAATGCTGTTTAAGAATGTTTGCCAGAATAAAGAAATTACCTTAGTTGCTGAACAATAAAAGTTGCATTGTTAAAACCAAAAGCCTGTCAGTATTAAAAGCAATCTCAAAGTACAGCTGCTGCTGTTTTATACTCCTTTTGCACTTCACTTTATTCAGAAATTAGAGAGAGACATAAAAGCTTAATGAAATGCCATTGATTTGGGAGCTGCAGCTGCTCACCTTAATAAGACTGAAATAGTAGATTTGATTTGTGGCCCTTTGATAATGTTTCCAAGAACTGCTGCACAAAAGTCTTTGAGGTCTAAATAATTGAAAAAATGTGCAAATATCACTTCACGAAGTGTGACATTTTAATGGGGAGCATTTTATATGTGTGCCTTGAGAGAAGAAGGTGATGAAAATAAAGTTCAGCAGTCAGGTGGCCACTGAAACCTCCCCTCACAGGCAGAGCTGGAAGTCTGGAGGATGCTGGTACATGTATCGTTGACAAGATGCCCAGGTTAAATGCCAAGGGTACTTAGTGCAATTCCGCAGCCAAGCTCTGATCCAGTGCGGTTTACTGAAACTGGTGGTGTGGTTACATGTGCTTTATGTGGAGCCTGACAAAATTAATTGTATCCATGGCTGGTATTTTTGGACTGGCATGAAATTGCATGGAAATAAATGGAGAAGCAACTTTCATAAGCTTGCTTGACTGTAATTGAAGATTTGTTAAGGTAAGTGCATGCATTTAGGCAGTAGTATTTACGAGTTTCAGAGCACTACCAAAGCACAAGATTACTTAAGTGGGAGAATGTTAGATCCTGTATTACCAGTGCTGCTCACTGACAATCCCAAGGCCTTGTGCTTGACTGTGTGTATCTTTCTTCAGTAACTTCATAACCTTACGTGTTCTTTTTTCTCTTTTTTTTACCTTTTCCCCCTCTCCCCCACCCCACAGGACCTCCTGTAAGTACAGTGATACATTGTTGGTTCTTCCAGAATCAGGCAGAAATCTGTTAGATCCTTTAAAGTTATCAGCGTTGATAAAATGGTCATATATACTCAAGAGGGAATTTTGATATTTATACGTACACAGTATCTTGGAGCTGAATGATTTAATCAGAAAGTTCGTTAAGAAAAGAGTCTCTAAACCAATAAAGCTTTATGTTCAGCGCTCCAGATTGCCATTTGGATTCACAACTCCATGTAAGTATGTTATGTTCATTTTGCCTGTGACTTCATAACCGATATTTTACTGAAATAGAAAAATGTGTGAGTATCCTATCTTAAACCCAGACCTGGCCAGTTTTGCTGGGTAGTAACTTCCTCTGCATTTATCACAAAGTTTTGGGGTACAAGCTCCCTGTTTTTTAGAGGCATGGAGGCTGTCCAGCTCATTTCACTGTAATTGCTACTGGAGCAAATAAGTGTTTGTGTAAAATTATTATGAAATAGTGCTATTTCATTTAGTAAGTCGATTGAATCTTGTGCTAATTCTTCCAGTGAGAAAGTGTTTTCTCTCTTCTGAGGATTTGAGGTTGTTTTGTTTTTGCTTGGGCTTTTTTGTATGTTTTTTGTTTGCTTTTTGTATATTCCCAGAGTAAGTGAAAAGTCTGACTTGAAGGCTAGGACTAAACACATATGCCTCAAACCTCATGCCATCAATGTGCATCATAGGGTGTAGGAATGTGACTGTTAAAATAGTATTTCTTTTACAGTTAGAAGGCTTCTATGTTTTTTTCCTTAATAGATGCAATATTTCTACAGTATTTTCAAGTGCCTATCTTCTGTCTATTCCAGGATACATGCATGTTTAAGAATATTTAATTAACGTGCTGAATTCCTGCTGTGACCTAAAGATTTTACTGTAAACTGCATATATTGAGTCATGATATTACTTCCCTTTTAAGACTTTGGCCATGTGCTCAGCAATTCATAGTGACAAATTCATTTAACAAGCCATCAATGAAAAGCCAGGCTTAATGCATAAAGGTGCTGTTTATTTGAAAGAAACACTGTTTTCCCCAATTTCTTTTGCAGTCCTCCTGTGAAACACAAAGAGCAAACATAAATAATGATACAAGCTATTTTCCTGTACCAAGGCAATGTAGCAAGAGTTAACTGTGTGCCTCATTAAGAATGTCTCTGACTTTAGTTCCCCACTGTTTCAGTATAGGTACATTAAAAGAACCCAAACAAGTGAACAATCCCCCCAAAATAAGTTGTAATCTTGGCAATAATAGCACAAACCTGAAATAGGTTCCAAAACTGAATAATTTTAAGTAGTGACTTCAAATTACAAGTTTCATACTTGAAACCTACCAAACTTCATCTTGCTGACAGGCAGCAATGGTCTAGGTTGTTACAAGGCATAAAAAGTGTAGTTTCCCTTCCTACTTGATTTCTATTTGCATAGACATTGGCTAGGGGCAAGTGTTGTGAACTTAAGTGTTGTTTTGACCTGGGAGACTGTGGTAGTAGTTTTAATTTAAAATATCAAATATTTGCATATCCTGCATTAAACTGGAGAATTAGGTGTATGTTGTTCTTTCAAAGGCTGCCACAGTTGTTCTGTTTATTTTCCTTGTACATGACTACTGAGTGGCACATGTAATAGCAGTCAGAGGCTGGGGATTTTGAATATTTTTATGATCTTTTACAGCAATCTCAGATTTCTTCTTTGGCATCTATGTTCTAGTGGAATCTAATATGTTATTGCCTAATGACTAAACCTTTTTTTTTTTTAATTAACTACATATTGCCCATCAGTTTACATGGATAATTCTCTTCATAAAAAACCAGAAATTCACTGGGCATCAGAAGTAGTCCGTAGCTTTTTAATCAAAGGGTTTATATAAGTTGAAACACATAATTTCCATTGCCAAAGCCTCATTTCTTCACTGTGTAGTACCCAACTCATATTTCTTGGTTTGAAATACCATCTCATGCAAAAAAGTCAAGCAATACACAAATTATAATTTCCTGGTAATGTACTCTGCATGTTTGTTATGTCATATGTCATGACTGTGTTGTTAATGTGTCATACCATTTCATCTCATTCAACCAGGGTCCACCAGGGCGAAATGGCTATCCGGTAACTCCTCGTATATTTATGATAGCAACTTATGGTTACTCTGAAATCCTGTTGGTATATTTTGGTTTCTCTTTATTACTGTCAGAAGGACCCTTATTTTTTTTTTGTTTGTTTCTCAGATGTATGAAAAATGCAGGATTTCCCCTTAAAAACAAAGCAAAATAAAGAGCCTGTGACAAGTTCCCAAAAAGAACCAGACTATTTACAATGCATAAATGAGATGCACTGTTTGTTTGATGTTGTACATATTTTGTGTTGAGTTTCTTCATTCTTCCATACAACAGTCATAATTAATTAATTAAAAAACATGCTAAGATACTGCATCTCAATTTTCTGTATTAGAAAGCTGTAGTGTTGCCATATGGAACCTCTGAGTCCTTATGGAACCTCTGAGTCCTTTCTTTTAATTCTCTCCTGTTTCACTTGACTGCGTTGTTCAATGCATTTTGGGCAAGGTAAAGTGTTATGACAGAGGTCCTAGAAATTGGCTGCAGTGACTATCACAGAATAATTTTTTTATAATGGATACAATTCATTTTTCTGTCAGTTTCATTCATACCTTTCGGATTTATTGCCTGAAAAAAAAAAATATATATATATATATATATGAAATAATGCATCTTTCTAAAATCTATTCATAATACATTTCTTTTGAGTAGTCAGGCAAACTGTCTGCAGTGTCCCATTCATTGAAAGAAGTATATGCCTGCTGTCTCATGGGTATTAGAAACCAAGTGACTAAATGTGATAATATATGTGCACAGCATAGTGACTTTTGAAGTATAGTAATGATTTATAGCACTTGATAGTGTAGCTTGAAGGGCCCTCCCAGATTGATTTGCCTATGTTTTTCAGACAAAATATACGTAAGTTTTCAGTGTGTTTTAAAAATGTTTCCACTGGTAAATTATAAATTGTATGCCTTGAGTACCTGCAATTAGAGGAGAATTTTGTAGAATCCCAGACTCTCAAAATGGTTTGGGTGAGAAAGGAAATTATTGGATCATTTACTTCCAATCACTCTGCCATAGGCAGGGACATCTTCCACTAGACCAGATGGCTCAAATCCATCCAGTATGTCCTTGAACACTTAGAGAAAACTAAGATTGAGAAAACTTCTAGAGATGAGTCATCCATAGCTTTTCTGGACAATCTGTTCCAGTATTTCACCACTCTCATAATTTAAAAATTCTTTCTTATATCCAGTATGAACTTTCTTTTAGTTTAAAGTCATTACCCCTTGTCCTGTCACTACAGACCTTGGTAAAAAAAAAGTATATTTCTCCATACCTTCTTTCAGGGCCCCTTTGGGTATTGAAAGGCTGCAGTAAAATCTTTCTGGAACCTTTTCTGGATAACCCCAGCTTTCTCAGCCTGTCTACGTAGAAGAGCTGCTCCATCCCTTCCATCATCTCTGTGGTCCCCTGGGCTTTCTCCAATAGGTCCATGTATTTTCTGACACTGTAGGCCCCAGAGGTGGGCACAGTAGTCCAGATGGGGTCTCACAAGAGTGGAGCAGAGAGGGAAAATCACCTCCCTTGACCTGCTAACAACACTTCATTTGATGCACTCTATTTCAATGCTTTTACCTGGGCAGGCTCTGGAATTCCAGGGTGATATCAGCAATGGATCATCATCCAGTGTCCATATTTACAATTACAAGTAGTTGGAAGTCATCTGGTGAGGAGCAGATCGTCAGTATCAAGAAACCTGCTTGGATGTGCTAAAACCATTATCAGATTTCTGACTTCATATTCCAGTTTCTCTTAGAGTGATTGATCTGTGTAGATGAGTAGAAGTTGTTTTCTTGAAGAGATTTGTTGTGGGATCTGAAAATCATGAAGGTACTTCAGAGCCATGGAATTGAAATTGCTGTGTCTAATGGGGTTGTTATGGGCAAACTTAGTCTGAATGCATTTCTCCTCATGTGTGATGTGAGCTGTCAGTAGTGCTTAGCACTTCACTGAGTGCTGCTTCTTCCTGCTTGAAAATGACCGGGTATAAAATTTGGCTTTGCTTTCTGAAAGTTGTCATGTGGCTGAATGTTTAAATCTTTTCAGTCACAGTCATACCTTCCTGCTTTGAATGGGAAATATGTAACTGCAAGTGCCATGTGCTTTAAAAGTACTTTTACAGCCCTGTAGAGGTCTATTAGAAGGCTATTAGTGTTCTAAGTTATTTCTCCAGAGTCTTATTTAGCTTCTGTAGAAGCCTTTTTGCTTAAATGTGTATTGGATTTTATGGGATAGTGTGTGAGGATAGTGAGGTGTATCTGCCACATGTAACCTAAACCTGGTGTAGCTCTCACAAAAGCAAGTGGCTACTTTCTCCAAGGCTTACATTTTCTTTGAATGTGTTCATTCTAGTTCTTAAAGATACTTTAAGAATAATTATAACAGTGAGAGGAATTGCAGTCAGAAATCTAAGTTCCCAGGAAGATACAGCATCAAAAATCAATAAAATAAGGGGTTTACTGCTAATGAGTAACACAGTTATTAAGGAGTTTATAAAACCACAATTAACTGGTTATTTTAAAGGCACTAGTAATACTAAAGAAGTGTACACTGGTACAACTCCTTTTTTTCCTCATAACAAGCTCTGTATAACAGAGACCAAATTCAGAGTTGTGACTATTTCAGCTTGGGTTTAAAATTGAAATAGCCTATCGCATCTACTCAAATAAAAGAGGAAAAGAGTGCACAAACATTGGAGAATGAGATGATAGGCAGCTTTTGCAGACACTTTGTATGACAATGTTGCTTTGTAAATAGTGCTAGAACTTGGAAAAAAGTACAGATACACACACACACACACACATCCTAAAGAAAACCCACACCAAACCCTCTACCCCAAAATTACCAAACGGTTAAAA